TTGTCTTGTCTGAGGAAGTTTTTATTTCTCCTTCACTTTTGAAGGATGTTTCCACTGGGTACAGAATTCTGGGTTGCTTAGGTTGTTTAGTTTAGTTTAGTTTTGTTTTGTTTTGTTTTCTCTCAAAACTTTAAATACTTCACTCTACTCTCTTGCTTACATGGTATCTGAGAAGTCAGATGTAATTTTTATGTTTGTTCCTCTATAGGTAAGGTATTTTTTCCCCTCTGTCTTCTCTAATTTGAAAATTAGATGCTTAGATGAATTGGTGGTGGTGGGGCATTTATCTTGCTTTGTGTTCCCTCAGCTCCCTACATCTATGATTTAGTGTCTGTCATTAATTTGGGGAAATTCTCAGTTATTATTGTTTCAAATATTTCTTCTGTTCTTTTCTCTTTTCTTTTTTTCTAGTATTGCCATTATATGTATGTTATATCATTTGTAGTTGTCCCACAGTTCTTGGATAGTCTGTTTTTTTGTTTGTTTTTGTTTGTTTTGTTTTGTTTTTTTTTCAGTTTTTGTTCTCTTTGCTTTTCAGTTTTCAAGGATTCTATTGATATATCCTCTAGCTCGGAGAGTCTTTCTTCAGCTATATCCAGTCTACTTGTAAGCCCATTAAAGGCAGCCTTTATTTCTGATAGTGGATTTTATTTATCTCAAGCATTTCTTTGTGTTTCTTAGGATTTCCATCTCTCTGCTTACATTGCCCATCTATCTGTTCTTGCATGCTGTCTACTTTATCCATTGGAGCCCTTAGCACATTGATCATAGTTGTTTTAAATTCTCATTCTAATAATTCCAGCATCCTTGCCGCATCTGGTTCTGATGTTTGCTCTGTCTCTTCAAATTATGATTTTTACCTTTTGGTGTGTCTCGAAATGTTTTATTGATAGCCAGACATGTTATACTGGGTAAAAAGAACTGCTGTCAAAGACTTTTAGTAACATGGTGGTGAGGTGTGGAAGAGAGAGAATTCTATAGTCCTATGATTAGGTATCAGTCTTTTAGTGAACTTATGCCTCTGGACTGCTAACTTCACAAGTGTTTCTCAGTTTTTCTTCCCACTTAAGTGGGACAGCATGGCTAGATTGGGCTGGAGTTGGGTATTTCATCCTCAGGTCACTTAGGCTCTGAAAATACCTCAGCATGTTAGGCTCTGGTTAACTAGTTATCCCTGAGTGCAGACCCTGTCAGGTAGAACAGAGTGCTCTAGAGTATTTCAGAATGGTTTCTTTTTCTCCCATCAGCAGGCA